TATATATATTGTATGTAATTTAGAGGATAAAATAGATATTTGGCCATCCAAAGTTTGAGAAATCTAGTCTACTTGACTTTCTAAGTGCTACACAAATAGTTAAGTGAATTTTCTGTTACAAACAAATAAACATGACTTTACTAGGTAATTTCAGATAGTTGAGTGATCAGAGTAACGGACTAAGACAAAAGGGTATAAGAATAACTTTTGTTCATCTATTAAAGCATAGAATCATCTAATTTCACTTTAATTTGAAGTTGTTCGCCTATTAATACAACACCAACATTATTTGATTCCAAATTCAGAGCAATGTTTATTGTCCCCTCTTCAACTTCTCCTAATTCACTCACCATTACTTCATCAAGACCGTGAATACGAGCAACACCATCGCGAAGTACATTGCCAATATTTACAATCTTTACTTCTCCGTTATATTGTTCAACATCTTCACGGATAATATTTCTAATTTCGTCAGCTCGAATGGTTACTCTGCCTGCTCAGTAGTATCAATCTTCAAGTCTTCAGGCCATCCAAATTCCTCCAGAAGTGCCAGTACAACGCCATTCGCCCATCCAAAACCTGTCTGCATTTAGACACAAATAATAGTCAAAAAATCTTTAAAAAATGAACTTAGTGACCTTAATGTCTACTTCAAAATTTTATGGTTTTCCACAGTAGACTGCTTTACATAGTATGATTAAAAGTATATGAGTGACAAAAGCTCTTGACTATGCCAATATCAAATAAACTGCAGGAAAATCAACAGATGCGAAAATCTGTGCCTGTACTTACTTGGGCTACATATACACCACCACCTCCGTATGCTCCACATTTTGTCACATCATATTTTTCATACATTGCTCCGGTTTTCTTGTAAGCTACATAGTTCGTTCTTATCCATCGGATAACAATGTCTTTAGCTAAGGCTCTTGCCTCTTCTAGCCCAGACCTCGCGAGACCTTCAATGATCATGTGTTGAATGGGGGGCCAACCATTTGGAAAATCCCTATTGTAAATTGATATGAGTGATCAAAGATTAAAAAGCACCTTAGTATCATAAATTTTCCACTTTATTTCAATAAGAGTAAAAACAAGCTATGTACCATTGTTGTCCAGTATTAGACAAGGTCCCTGCAATCCCTGCAGGTTGAAGCAGGCCCGAGTTCTCGAGACTTTGAACAACTTTTCGAGTTGTGATATCATCTTCAATTGTAACAAATCAGAAAGAATATCATTATATGCTCAAGTAGTGATGTCTATATCCATATATATATCAGAGATATAGTATACAGACCTGAATTGAATAATTCAATCCACAAAGGAACAAAGTTAGAGGCAAATGACTTCTTGTTCTGGTGTATATCTTCCCATTTATAAATATCCTAATATCACAAACAAGTGAAACAAAACTTAGAATGCTTTAAGTTTTCAAGGTGTGAAAACATGTGCACGAATTCGTGCAAGATATACCACCTCGGATGTGTAACTATTGCCAAGCCAGTAATCAAGCCATTGCCCCATCTCCGCGTTCCAAAAGATACAGTTGATGGCCCTTTGTCTATTTTGAGAAGCTTCTGTAAATCGTGCAACGATGCTAGTATCTCCAACAAGATTTGCTAAAAAGGCTACGTCAAGTTCCATCTGTGATACAATTTAAAAGCCCATGTTATATGCAAGGTCACATTTACAAGGCCTAATTTTCAGTGATTTTATAACTTACCTTCAGAAGGAATGCATTCAGATCAACTGGTAGAATTGATGTTGTACTAGTTGTTGTGAGATCAGGTTCATTCCTGCGATACAAGATAAAAACAGTTTCGCATTATCAAACTATAATGAGAGATAAATGATTAGTAAGGCTGCATTATAACGTCTGAATAATGTGCTACCTCATCCATCTTGAACTGAAATCCCATCCACTTTCAGCAGCTGACGCCAACTCACGGTAAAATTGTCTTTTCTCACAGATATTTGGGAGTTTGGAAGCTGTTTTACTGTCCTATATCAAATGAAAAATAAAAAGAACCTGTAGTTTGCACTTGCAGGAATATCATGATAATCCAAGTCAGAAATATGAGATTGCAAGCTTTACAATAGTTGATGATTCTGGCCGGGGTTCATTCCACATAGCATAGTATCGACTCAAACTATGGTTCGATCCCTGAGCATCTTGAATAGTCACTTTATGGATTCCTACAAAAAAAAGTGGGAATGACAGACTTACCATAAAAAGCATTTAAGCCGGAAGAATTGAATAATAAAGCCCAAAAACATAGTATAAACTTAACATAGCCAACACATTGCTAGAAAAGCAACAGCCAATTTAATAGGAACAGAAAAGAACAAGATAGTACCTGAATTCCAAAAATGATACTCTTTGAGCAAAGCAGGAAGAGATCTTCTAACCAAGTCCAAATCGCCTGTCCGGTTGTATATTTCAACAATCATTGCAGCCAGGAGAGGAGGCTGACTGAACATGTGAAACACAAGATACGATAAGAATTTTCACAGCATGAAAAGATGAGCTAAGTAGTGAAAGATATACAATTACTCCCTCCTTCACATTTTATGTGCAATAAGTTAAGCTGACTAGTATGTTCTATTGGTAGTACAACAACAACAAACCCAGTGTAATCCCACTGGGGTTTGGGGAGGGTGGGATGTACGCAGCCTTACCCCTACCTTGGAAAGGCAAAGAGGTTTTCCATGTTCTATTGATAGTATTAAAAGAAAAATAAACCATTGAAAGTTGGTGAGGTGTCGCAAAAACTGAAACTGTCACATATAGGAAGAACATACACAAGTTAAAGCATCGTAAAGGCTGTAAGTTTTATGAATCAAGATGTGAAAAGATTCTTGCCTTCTATTACTGTAGTATGCTCGTGCACCATTAAGAACATAACCGAATTGATCTATCAGAGAAACCAGATTACTCACAATCCCTTTTGCAGTTTCATACATCTTGCTTGCTAACAAGCCCCTGCATAAAAAATATGGCTAACGTATAAGATTTGCTCGAAAGAGAACTATTAAAAGGACGATAAGGGCAGGAACTCCTGGAAGTATCAGAATACGGAACATTGCAACATCATCACTTCATACAATAACACTTAACAATGAAATTAGATTCCAGCACGTTAATCAAACCATAGAACAAAGAAAAGATTGCATATTTCTGTCGAAATAAGGGGCGGAGCTAGCATAGGATTTGTCGAACCCATTAACTTTGGTCTAAACCATGTATTTTTCTTAAAAAGTTTATTACAGATATATAAATTATTAATTTAGAACTCAGTAACATAAACAAACAAGAATCCCGAACCCACATGCTTCAAATCCTAGCTCCGCCTCTGGTCGAAATGGTAGGCCTAAGGAATATACTTACATTCACAGAATGCAGAGTTGTGTTCAGAAACTTCAACACTTAAAAGATCTAACAAATACTAAACTTTTCATAGGATAGAACAGTAGATAATATTCATTCAACCAATTCATTGTTTCTTTAGAAAGTAAAGTAATTCGATCTTGTGAAAAACATGAGCTGAACTTCTATCACTTGCACAATATCGACTATCTCATAAACTGAAAAGAAGTAACTTCCACTCACTAATATCTTTTCACTTCAACTTTAACAATTTACTTCATGTAAAAACAAGCAAAAGCAACAATTATTAACAGCATTTAACAAAGGCGCTGTGCATTAAACTCCCGCTATGGGGTCCGGGGAAGGGCCGGACCTCAACCGCCTTACCCGCATTTCTGCGAGAGGCTGTTTCCACGGCTCGAACTCGTGACCTCCTAATCACATGACTTTAAAACAACTTTACCAGTTACGCCGAGGCTCCCATTTAACATAGGGAAGCAAGGAAAAAAAGACTAACCTTATTATCCAGTAAGAATCCCAGTAATAAACCTCTCTGTAACGCGATCCTGCTATAATAACTGGATTTTTCAATGGAATTAAAGTATACAACTCTGGATTTTCCAATACATGATCAGAAACTTTCCTACTTAAATTCTTCCAAAGTGAATGCACTTCCAATGCCCAAGCCCTCACTTCAGAATTCTTCACCTTTGGCAAAAAAACTTCAGGCTCAGCAACAAAATCCACTGGCTCAACATAAACCAAATCCTCATCTGCACCATTCAAATATTTGCCTATAAACACATCCAAATCATGTGTTGGAATTGAACCATTCACAGTTCTTGGAAGCTTATTAAAAGCTTCAACTGTTGCTGAAAGATTCTGTTTAAGTGACATGTCAACATATAGTTTTGCATCAAACCCTTTGTAGCCATAGGATTGAAGAGCAGCTTCTTGAACTTTTTCAAGAAAAATAACTAAAGGGGTTGTTGGAATTACAGGTCCCTTGTTAGTAGATGTACATGTTTCAGATTTAATCATATTCATTGCTGTTAATGATAATATAAACAGAGTGAAAATCATAACAATTATGGCCATATTGTGAGAAGTTAAGGGGTTGAATTGGTTATGCCATAGCCAATTATTGGACCTGTCAATTCTTGTCTTTGTTTATGCTCCGCCATTAATGTTGTAACACGTGCAGATTTCTGAAGGTAGAGCATTTCACTAAAATATTCTTGATTTTGTGCTCAAATATTCAGGTCCCTTTCTTCTGTTTATAAACAGTTTGTTTACATAAGTACTTTGTAAAAAAGCAATTTAATATGCAACTTGTGACTGTCTTACTTGCTTTCGTGCTTTACTCTTTGTATGGTTAAAAAACGTTGTAGTTGTATTTGCTGAGCAATAACACATTAGCCTAGTGGTTTATTAGTGATCATGTGTATGTGTGAAATTAATCCTCTAAATTTTGTATTGAGCTGTAATTAGATTAATTCGTTTTAAGGGTGGGGATTCGGATCGGTTTGTGGTTTATTTTTTTTGGGGGGGGGAATTTGTAAATAAATCGGGTCGGATCATTGCATATGTGACCTCAGATTTGATCATTTGGCTTACTATAGGCTTATATATTAGGGGTGGGCGTCGGTCGGTTCGGTCGGTTATTATGAGAGTAAAGTTCGATTTATCGGTTTTCGGTTTTGTAATATTAATAACCAAATCAAACCAAAGTATTTACGGTTCGGTGCGGTTTTTTCAAAGTTTGGTTCGGTTATTTCCGGTTTATTTTTTCGGCTATTAACAGTTCAAGATTTTTATATCTTGGATTTACTTCCGGTGGTCATAAACTTTCAGTGGTCATAAAATGCAAGAAACTTTGTTCTAAATCAAGCATTAATGCGGATTGAGTGATTTCAGCTACTCTAATCTAGAGAATCTNGGTTATTAACGGTTCAAGATTTTTATATCTTGGATTTACTTCCGGTGGTCATAAAATTCCAGTGGTCATAAAATGCAAGAAACTTTGTTCTAAATCAAGCATTAATGCGGATTGAGTGCTTTCAGCTACTCTAATCTAGAGAATCTTGGAATAAACAAATACAAATCTAGCTGTACTAGAACAAAGTTCTATTGTTAATTATTGGATTCAATTCCTTTTAGAGCAGCCCACTACTACTGTTTCTAGTATCAATATGAACAACATAACAATTAACAAAATAATAATTAATCCACTAGCAGGATTTCACGTCCAAACAGAACACAATAGCTACCAAAAATTGCTCAGAAATCAATGAAACATCAAAATAACTTAGCAGAAAATTACAGAAAGTCAAGTCCATGTCCCTATTTAACAAAATAACGTAGCATAGAAAGGGATCAATAGAAGAAAGTTACATGTTGACTTTCACTTAACGGAATAATCAACACAAGAAATTTTCACCAAAATCGAATGAGCTGAGGAACATAGAAAAGGAACTCAAAACTCAGAAGAAGTCGCAATAATCTGAGGAAGAAGGATGAGCGACGAGCTGAGGAAGAACGCGTCACAGTCGAGCTGAGGAAGAAGGCAGCAGTCGCATAGAGGAACCCTAAATCTAATTTTTGATTTGGGTTTGGGAAATGAGAATGTATAAGTAAGACTAAGTCCTAGGTAATTAGGCTTGGGTAAATTGGGTGGGATTCAAATGGGTATTGGACTATTGGGCTTCAGCCTTAAGATGGATAATAAGTTTTGGACTCTCAAAAGAACCCATATGTTCAAACGTATTTTTCTCAACTAATACCCAAAATTTCGGTTTTTCGGTTTAACCAAAAACCGAAATACCAAAATCGTAAACCGCACCGAAAAATCAAAATTTAATAATTTAAAAACCGTGCACCGACCGAATAACCGATTAAACCGAAACCGAAAAATCAAAATTTAATAATTTAAAAACCGTGCACCGACCGAATAACCGATTAAACCGAAACCGAAAAATCAAAATTCACGGTTCGGCCGGTTTTTTCGGTTCGGCTGGTATTATGCCCACCCCTATTATATATAGTGAATACTGGCTTACTATAGGCTTATATAGAGTGAATACAACTTGTTTATGTATCGTTTCATGTATTATATTGTACTGTATTATTTTATTGTATATAATATTTGGATAAATTATATTATTTATTGTCGTTTCATGATGTCATGCACCAACAATATGAAGAATAAACTTGCAATATTACAAAGAAAAAGTAAGGTATGTGATAGAATTATTATGTAAAAATATAGGGTAAATGATAAAATAGGATTAATAATAAGAACGGGCAAGATGAGAGAAAAAAATAAGGAAACGATGAGATGACCCCAAATCGATCGTTATATAATGACACTTTTCCTTGTTACGTAACGATGAATTTAACGATACGATACAATAAAATTTAAGTAAGAATTTAAATAATATTAGAAAGTAAAGGGTCAAATATGTTCTTTTCCGTTTTTTATTTTAGGGTATCAAAGTTAAACCCTTTGGGGTCGTTTGGTAAGAGGGATAAGGTGGGATAAGATGTGTGATTAAATTTATACCGTGTTTGGTTGGCGTTATAAATTTATACTGCCAACCAAACACGGTATAAATTTAATCCCAGAGTTAATCCAGAATATCTCATCTTATCCCACCTTATCCCATTAAACTTGTGATTATTTTATTTCACCTTTCATGTGGTATAAATTAGTCCTATGATAATTTAGTCCACGTACCAACAACAACAACAAGAAGCTATTTCCAATAGACCATCGGCTCCCTCCCTCCAAGAACTCCCCACCTTACTCTTGGGTGACTCGAACTCACAACCTCTTAGTTGAAAGTGGAGGGTGCTCCCTGCTAGATCTAACCCAATCTTGTCCTCGTACCAAACTACCACAAATACGTTTGTGGAACAGGAATAGGAAAACACTAGAGCAAATCAAAGGGGACCGTTTGAACACAAAATCAAGAATCTTTTTAGTAAAACGCGATAAGTTCAGAAATCTACACGTGTTACAACAGTGGCTAAAAAGAAACAAAGACGAGAATCCTCGTAACAATCTAAGTAGGTTTAGTTTTCTAGTTCAGTTCAGAGTCTTGCATAGTATAGTACCCATCGAAAGTTAGATTTTTCAGACTTCAATTTACCTGCTTATTCCCACTGCCGGCCTTTTCTGCTCTAAATAAACCAAATTTGTTTTCCTTCAAATTAACCTATATAAATTGGCGCTCCAACAATTGGCTATGCCATTAGTATTCAACCAATTCAACCCCTTAACTTCTCTTACAATATGTATAAATCCACATTTTTTGTGATTTTTACTTTATTCATGTCATTCACAGCCCTGAATATGATTAAAGCTGAAACATGTACATCCATTGAAAAGACCCATGTAATTCCCACAACCCCTTTAGTTATTTTTCTTGAAAAAGTTCAAGAAGCTGCTCTTCAATCCTATGGCCACAAAGGGTTTGATCCAAAACTGTATGTTGATATGCCACTGAAACACAACCTTTCAATAACAGTTGAAGCTTTTAATAAACTTCCAAGATCTGTGAATGGTTCAATTCCAGCACATGATTTGGATGTGTTTTTAGGCAAATATTTGAATGGTGCAGATGAGGATTTGGTTTATGTTGAGCCAGTGGATTATGTAGCTGAGCCTGAAGGTTTTTTGCCAGAAGTGAAGAATTCTGAAGTGAGGGCTTGGGCATTGGAGGTGCATTCACTTTGGAAGAATTTAAGCAGGAAAGTTTCTGATAAAGTATTGGAAAAACCAGAGATGTATACTTTGCTTCCATTGAAAAATCCAGTTATTATACCAGGATCACGTTTCAGAGAGGTTTATTACTGGGATTCTTATTGGGTAATAAGGTTAGTCTTTTTTCTTGCTTACCTGTGTTAATTGTTGTTAATTATCTTTTGGTATATGTTATTTCTTCATTGTTGCTTCTGTTAGGTTTTCATGAAGTAAATTAGTAAAGTTAAAGTGAAAAGAAAATAGTGAGTGGAAGTTACTTCTTTTCAGTGTATGAGATAGTTGACATTGTGAAACAGACAGAAGTTCAGCTCACTTTTTACATAATGTCCAATTGCTTTGCTTTCTAAAGAGATCATGTTGCTAAAATTTGAACATTGAGGTAGCCGATACGAATGATTAGTATAATAAACATTATCTACTGAACTTTCCTCTGAAAAGTTTCGATCTATTGTTAGATCTTTATATGTTGTGGTTTCTGAACAATATAAATATTCTTGAGGCCTACCTTTTTGACAAATATGCAATCTTTTCGTTGTTCTGTACTTTAATTATCAAGCTGGAATCTAGTCTCATTGTTAAGTGATTTGTGCGTGAGGTGATGATGTTGCAATGTGACATCTTGTGATACTTCCCGGAGTTCCTGCACTTATTTCCGTTTTGATAGTTCTCTTTTGCTATGAGAAAATCTTATACATTAGATATATTTTTGATGCAGGGGTTTGTTAGCAAGCAAGATGTATGAAACTGCAAAAGGGATTGTGACTAATCTGGTTTCTCTGATAGATCAATTTGGTTATGTTCTTAATGGTGCAAGAGCATACTACAGCAACAGAAGGCAAGTATTCTTTACATATTGATTCGTAAAACTTACAGCTTTTAAGATGCTTTACTTGTATGTATCGCCTTTATGCAAAAGTTTCAGTTTTTGGGGCATTTCAAATCAACTTCCAATGATGCTATTTTTCTGTTAATACTACCAATAAAACATTCAAGTCAGCTTAACTTCTGAATTTGCCCCTAATTAAATCACGCACATAAAAGGTTGCAGAGATAGTAATTGTATCTCTTTCATATCTTAGCTATTTTTATGGAAAATCAGGATGTCCACTTATATTTCGATCTTATTTTATTGTGATCTGTCCCCTCCCTAATATTTCTATTTTGTTTTTTTTGAAAGGGGTGGGCATGAGGGTGTTGGTTGTTGGCTAGAAAAACCGTACTAGGACTGACTGGGTACAAGTTATGGTTATATGAGTAATCCAGTGTCATCTACTTCCTCTTTTCATGCTGTGCAAATTCTTATTGTGTCTTCTTTTTTTTTCACATGTTCAGTCAGCCTCCTGTCCTGGCTGCGATGATTGTTGAAATATACAATCGAACAGGTGATTTAGATTTGGTTAGAAGATGTCTTCCTGC